ACTTGAACTTGCGCGCGGAGATCTTCCGGTTGAACAGAATGTCAAGCTCACGGTATGAGCGTCCTTTGAGCTCAGGGAGGCCGAAGTATGCGCTGATGAAGCAGACGCAAGCTGTACCGCCCCACACGTATCCACACTTACCAGCCATGTTCCAGCCCGTGGGATTGAGCATCTGCGAGGCTAGGTAGATCATAGGAATCTCGGCGACGTAGTATGCGGCTCGGCCAACACCGGTGCTTAGCGCGCGGAGACGGACGGACGATGTTTCGGCGATGATGGAGTATGAGATCGGACCCATGGCTCCTGCGAATACGAACGAGATGACGATACCCAAACAAGCTTGGGCGTAGTTGGTCGCGCTGCTCTGGGGGATGGAAGCGCAGATACCGAGAACGAAGAGCAGGAAGATGTTGATGGCGGTGCCCCCGAGATAGATTGTGCGGCGGCCGAAAAAGTTGCTGAGAGGCCACGCGCAGATGTTGGCTACCAGCTGCAGGCACGAGTTGATCAAGTTCAACTTGAACGAGAAGTCAGACGACATTCCAGCCTCTGAGAATAGTCAGCGTTACATCTCCGAAGATTGTGGCGAATCTCGACTCACGCTCGAAGAAGAAGGTTGCTTGGTTGGCGATCAGATTGCCAGCGAAGTTCTGAGACGCGTAGATCAAGCAGGTAATGAGTGTCCGGCGGAGGTCGACTCCCTTGACGAGATCAAGGAGAGAAGGCTCGCCGCCCTTGTGAGCTTCGATCTGCACTGTGCGCTCCATCATGGCAAGCGTGTCTTCGGCAGCCGCCTGAGTTCCATTTCTACGACCAAGGCGCTTGATGGACTTCAGCGCCTGTTCCTTGCGCCCTCTGCGCACTAGCCACCATGGTGATTCGGGTGCGAAGAAGATGAGGACCATAAGAGGGGTCTAGGGATGTCAGCTATCGTGAGGAAACGGACGAAGAAGGTACTTACAGGAAACACCCACTGTAGGGCCAGAGGACCTCTCCACGCCCACTCGTCGTTTCGCTTGTTGTAGCTGTAGGTCGCAGCAGCGACAATGATGCTTCCGATAGACCACGACATCTGGAGAGTAGCCGTACAGGCACCACGAAGAACCAGAGGAACGACCTCACTAGCGTAGGCTGGCGAGTTGGCGATGAACATACCCCATGGGATACCTTCGAAGGCTTGTCCGATGACGAGCACCGCGAGTGAGTCCGCCTGGGTACTGTTAGTTCCAAGATCTAGATCAGGGGTTCAAATACGCACAAAGAAGGAAATGAAGATGGTCGCATTCATCAGCATAAGTGCCAGCAAAGTAGTCCAGCGGTAACCAAGACGATTGGTGATGGGACCAGCAAGGAAGACTCCAATAAAGGCACCGCATTGGCCGGCTTGGAAAAGTGAACTCTGCCATTTGGTGGGAATGGTCTTGCCGACTTCGCCAGCGACTTGCACGCCGTATCGTTCTTTGAACGCGGCAAGAGCAACAAAGTTGCCGTTCAAGAACATATCGAAAGACTCCATGACCTATTGGGTGTCAGCGACATCTTCTGGGAGATGCTAGTAGGGGTCTAGTACTTACGATAGTAAAGCAGAAGATGAAAGCCCAAAAGCAAGCCATGGGGTGGTCCCTCATGGCCTCCCACATTCCCATATCATGTTCGCGGCTTTCAGCTGCCTGCGCATCTGTCATGAGCTCCTTGTCCTCAAAGATTTCGGCCTGACGACTGAGGCTCTTCTCCAGGACTCCATCGTCGACCGCAGGGGTACCATCTCGCTTGGGTTCGGCAAAGCCCGCCATTTCGAGTTAGCGTGTAAGTTGATTGGACGCCACGAAGAGCGAAGAACGAATAAGCAAAAGCCGATGCCAAAGGCCAAGCAGACATGGTGAGCTTGGAGAGCTTATATACTGTATGCACTCTAGATTCGACCTCGGCGTGGGTACGCTCTGCTATCATCAACCCACTTGAGCCCATGGGGCCCCGCGACAAGCTTTCAAGGGTGCTTGCCGTGTTGATGGGTCTTGATTGGCGGGTCTCTGGGGTATGAAGAGGCCGGGGTCCGAGCAGAGCCGCGTAGTACCATCTAGCCTGAAACGTCATGATATGGAGACCTGCTATTGATGCGAAATTCGAAAGCTAGGATACAGCTGTAGCTTGTTTAGGTGATCTTGCCGTACAACAGTGGATTGAAGAGCTGCGCAATACACGCTTTGCGGAAGTACTCCCTCAAGCACGTTAGTGAGGCTGAAAAGTGGAATGACAACGTCGGTAGACCTCGTGTACGCGATGCACATGAAGCGGATGGGAATGACGCGGAAGCATCAAGGAGTGCTATATCCGATCTCACTTGGTCCTGACGGCCATCGAAATCAGACCCGAAGGAGGGCAGTAAGCCCGCTACCGACCACGATCGTTGTTCATGAATGCCATGCCTTCAGTTGCGCGAGTTTTGGGCTCAAGGTCCCACCCCCACGGAGAATTTCTGGGGAATACCAAGTTCTTAGCATGGTAACGCCTGTAGATACAAAGACCAAATTCTCGGTTGACCTGAGATTGCCTGTTTGCACAGCAATGGACTCGTACGAGCGGCCAATGTCGGAGGCTACGGCCGGTCATGGGCAAGCGTCGGTGGATCCACGAGCACTATGAATCCTCAGTGGCATGATTCCCCATACACTTAGTCTGTGGAGCAAGTATCATTCGCAGGCAGTATCCGCTGGAGAGGACAAGAAAGTCATCAAACGCGAAAAGAGCCACGGACGCTGACAGGATACAACCTGCAAACAAGCAACAGCCACCAAATTAATCCGACGAGGAATGCTCGGTCTTCTGGGTGGGTTCCCGTCTAGGTATGTGGTTTCTGTTTGTATCGCATAGTAATCAAAGCTACGGCAGTTAGCGAAATAAGCCTACGCTACGCCGTCTAGAAGCCAGGTCGGCAGGCATCATCTCCCAGCACGTAGACCGCTTTCAGGAAGCGGGCCGCATACCATTGTTGACATTTGCACGTGAGAATGAAACCCCTGGGTATTGTCTTGTCCTAGTCACGACTGTCGCTCGCTCAAGGAGTGGAGGCGAATTGTTCGCAAGCCATTACTCAGCTGCATGGCTAAGAGCCAAGACGTAGCTGCGACTGGTACGTCTCTCAAATATGAACGGGTGAGTTCAACATCGGTCCAACATGTCTTGCAAAATACCGCCTGAGCGTTCATAGGCCCCGCGAGGTCTTCACTCCCGGTTCGCAGGGTTATCTGTGAGCAAATCCTGTAGACACATTGAGTCATGCCGTACCACATTGAAAGGTGTTGCGACAAAGCTCCAAGACAGGGAATTTTCATTCCTTAGCCGTCTAAGCGTAGCATCTTTCGATGCAGAAGTCCGTCGTGCTACCTTGTTCCAGAAAAAGCTGAACTCGCTGGAGCCTACATTAACATGCAAGGATGAAAAATATGCGACCCGACGTCAACTTAGACTCCAGGGTATTCTGTTTCCTTCTTGAATGGCGTGGTGTGAAACATATGTTCTAAGACTAATGATTGGATCCGAGTGATGGTGTGGAGACTAACAGATCTGCGGTGATGGACCTGCCGAACATCCGGGTCTGCATGTACTGGATCCTGCGTGCATTAGATCCAATGTGTATAACACACTTACTTATAGTCTGGTAAAATCCTGCAGATGCAAGCTTCCTCTCTCACAAGGCTGCTTCCTGAGCGAGAAGGCGCTCTGGGATTACGCGGCCAGCAGCGGGAAGCTCAGATCGCGCCACAACGATAACGGGAACCCAGTAAACGACTCTGGAGAAGATCGCCGGCGCATGTATGAATGAGACACATCGTATTCATGTAATGGCCTAGCGGCTTCCTCGCACGGTATTGGCAGGCGTCCTAAGCCGACCAGGCAGCGGCAAGCCAGACAACATGGCGCAGAAACGCCACGGCGGCACGGCTGAGGGCTGACAAACATGGGAAAGCGAGCATCATGGTATTGCTGCAGCAAGGTCATACAGGCATGCATCCGTGTAGCGGGCTGAATTGAAAGCATGTGGGTGGCATGATAATGGCGGGGGAGATGCACGCGAACTGACTGCCGGAGCTAGCTCTTCTTAGCGTGCCAGTAGCGCCGCATCGGACCGCCTGGTGCTCGCCTCGCCTCCATCTTTATCGCGTCCATCTTCTCTTTCGTGCAACACCAAGAACGCCCTAACTACAACGGTGCCACGTTGACAGGCTGTCAAAGCAAGTTCCCTATCTTTTCGGAACCATACGCGCCTGCAGCTGTACAGCCTAGTGGTGTCTCTACCCACGACCCCACCGGGTAGGAAACAGCGTCCATACCCTCCATCTGCACTTCGCGATTGGCTGGACGGAAACGAGAACGACCTCCCCGGCCTCAAGTTTTTGCCTGAGGCCCTTCTTTTGTGTTGGCGAGCAGATTTCCGCCGTCATGAAGCAAACAGTCCCAGATAGCGCCACCAGGCTGCAAAGTTCCAGCCCAATACGTCACAGTTTGCTCGCTCTCCAACCATATACCTACTGATCTTGTCGCTGCGGCTGTGGTACTCTCGCTATCGGTGCCTATTTTGGAGATGTCGAACGCCCTTGTGCAGCTCGCTTGTGGCGGTGAACAGTAGAAGTCGAGCTGTCGTTTTCAGCGTTCCAACCTGGGTGGCAAGGATAGACATCGCATGGTATGATTGGACGCTTTCGCTTGGAAGCAAGGATTCATTCCATGGTACGTTTGATACATGTACGGGAGAGCGGAGAATCGCTACCGTGGAGAGGGTCGACCATGACCCTATGCATTACGTCTTCTTCCGTAAAGATACGGCTTCTTACTGTGATCCACGCGTGACTGGGGGAAATCTCGCATTATTCCAACCACTTGTTCCAGACATCCCGGCATTCAGCAAGCGGAAGTTCGAATTATTGTTACAGAGAAGCTTCAATCTTTACAGGAAGCAACTCTCGAGGACCGTGGACCTTGCGATGATGAAGGTCGACATCATGGAGCAGACTCGGATCAAACCTGCCTCCACCGTCTATCCATGGATGGACACTGAACATGTCACTGGGCACTTGAGGAAATGTTTCAAATTCGTCTATGACAAAGTCAAGTTGCTGAACGGCCGGGTGGACGGCATGGAAGCGCAAATGACGCATCTCAAACAGCTTATCGAAGACGTTAAGATCAAGTCCGAAGCAGATAACCAAGGACTGCAAAGCGATATTGATGCTCAGAAGGCGCAGAATCAGCAGCTGCGAAACGAACTGGATGCCGAGAGGGATCGAAACCAGCGACTAGAGACTACGATCAAGGATTCACAACAGTCAATCACCCGGACCGGTCAACAGTTGAATGATCTCTCAAACCAGCTTTGTGCCCACAAGACTATCACTACCGCAAATTTCCAAAGGACAGATCGACTCGTGTCAAAATCCACACAGCAGATCAAGTCGCTGGAACGGTCTGGCAATACCTACATCCAGAGCATTGTCGATCTCAGAGAGGACCTAGAAGATCGCTTCGAGACAGCAGTGGTTCATACCCAAGAAGGCTTGCGTCACAACCAAACCGCCTATATCAATGGTCTAGGACTCCTCAGAAATGAGACAGCGGAAAAACTCGCTACTCTGACAGATCACCTCTCCACCGCTGTCGATACCGTGCAAGCACAATCCCACGAGCATACGGAATCGTTCGAAAAGACCGCTCTGCTTCTCGACCGTAACTCTCAGCGTATCGATGAGCTCGAAAATGCGATGGAAGAACCACAGTTTCTGGAAGGCATGAACCACCGTGTCGAAGAGCTTGAGAATGCCGTGAAATCACATGATGCGGCACTGCAAGCTTCTCAGGCCATAACGACCAGACTCGATTCCCTAGATTCCCGCCTGCGCGTGTCGGAAGTCGCTATCCAATCTGTTCAAACGCCGACATTGACCCCTCCGACTGCCACAACAGCTACCGCCGCTCTCGACGATCCTCAGAATAAGGTCGACGCAGTCTATTTACAGTTGAAGAATGAACTTGCCTCATTAAGTAATTGCAAAGACCGACTTGTCGCATTGGAAAAGCACCGCGGTACCCCTGCATCTCGCAAACTTGACAATAGGGTCTGCGTATTGGAAGAGAACTACGGCAAGATGCGCAATGACCACACAGACATGACCGCCAAGTGTGTCACCCACGAGCAATTCGCTGCAGCAAGGGATGCCGATGCTGCCTCCCTCCAGACGACTATTCAGAACCACCGGGAAGAGGTGAAGCATAGGATGGAGTATAATGTTGTACTCCTGAATGGGCTAAGGGGTCAGCACCTACAAAATATAGAGACCTCTCTCAAAAAGGTCGTCCAGGATAACGCATTTCCCGTGAGTACCTACCACATCATCTCCATGATGTCTGCTTATGATCGTAAACTAATGAGTCGGACTAGCACCTACTCCAAGACCCAGAAAGCGCACAGCCTGCCCGAGCACCAGCACCACAGTCAGCGTATCCATCACCACCCGCGACGAATCTGACACATCCCAGGCCGACGCAAGATAACTGGTCACCAAACACATCCTCCACTCCTGTGGCGTTTCAACAGGCCATTCACATGCAGCACGCACTATACCTAGCAGGAAATGCGGTGTCTGAAGGTAGGCAAGGAACCCAGCCAGTCGCCGATACCATTGACCTCACCGCACCTGGACAGCCTACATTCTTTCGACAAGTGCCCGAGAAGCGACAACGGATTGATCGACCGGCGCAACAGCAGGGTCAGTATTCGACGCAGCAGCAATGGCAGCAACAAGTGCAACAACAGGCGCAACAACAGGCACAACAACAGGCTCAGCAACAGGCACAGCGACCGGCACAACAACAACATCTAAATCAACACGCTCCATCAATTGCCTTGGGCGCCGTGCAGCAGAGGCAAGAACCAGGAGTGCATATGGAATGGTCATCATAAGGGCATCACCATGTGCGACCGCCCATGGGCCGGCAGTCGCAATAGGCGAGGATGATGCCACGGATATGGACGTACGGACTGAGCACTGGGATTGTAGAACCTGAGTGAAAGGTGTCAGTGAAAAGCTAGGGGTGAATGGCAGATGTGTCTAGCACTGGAAAGGAAACTAGTTGATATGCTATGGTATACTATAACCTATTCATAGGTCTTGATGCGTATGAGAGTGACATAACCAAGCTCATCAATCTCTCAAAGTATTATTTTGTCATTGAGCTCGAGTTTTTATTGCACCATCATCACGACATCGACATCAGTGTGATGAAAATGATGCTGACGCGGTAGTATGAATGACGCTTGACTCATTGCTGCGCTCCTGTATGCTGTAGTGTATTGTATTTTACATTTTTACTATTTACTTCCCATCACGGCGCCTAGTTCTTCGGCTTGTATTCGGAAGGGTTGACCATAAGTTCGGGCCTGACGTACTTGTCAAATTCCGACTCGCTGATGACCTCAAGCTTGAGCGCAGCCTCCTTGAGCGTAAGGTTGTTCTTGTGGGCGTATTTGGCGGTCTTGCTAGCGGCGTCGTAGCCGATGACGGGATTCAGGCAGGTGACGAGCATGAGACTGTGTCAAGTTAGCTATGTGATGAATCTTCAGTTAAGGGAGAGTAACTCACCTCTCGCTCATGATAGAGCTGATGCGCTTCTCGTCCGCCTCCAAACCAGCGACGAGGTTCTTCTCGAAACTCCTCATGCCGTCGGCGAGCAGACGCGAGCTGTGGAGCAGATTGCGGATCATGACGGGCTTGAAGACGTTGAGCTCAAAGTTACCCTGGGATCCAGCGAAGGTGGTAGCGGCCTGGTTACCGAAGACCTGGGCGCAGACCATGGTGAGAGACTCGCATTGTGTGGGGTTCACCTTTCCGGGCATGATGGAGGAACCAGGCTCGTTCTCGGGCAGCTTCAGCTCACCAAGACCGCATCGGGGGCCAGAGCCGAGGAAACGGATGTCTTGGGCGATCTTGAACAGGGAGGTTGCGAGGGTGTTGAGCTGGCCGTGGGCCTCGACGATGGCGTCGTGGGCAGCGAGCGCTTCGAACTTGTTGGGTGCCGTGACGAAGTCCTTGCCGGTCATCTTGCTAACTTCTGAAGCAATGTCCTCTGCGAAACCCTTGAACGTGTTGATGCCCGTTCCGACGGCGGTTCCGCCCTGGGCCAGCATCTTGAGGCGCGGAAGACAGGTCTTTATCCGCTCAATGCCGAAGTCGAGCTGCTGTACGTAGCCAGAGAACTCCTGGCCGAGTGTCAGGGGTGTGGCATCCTGCAAGTGCGTCCTGCCAATCTTGATCAAGCTCTCCCACTGGTCGGCCTTCTTCTTCAGCGCGTCCCTCAGGCTGGCGAGGGCGGGCAGGAGCGACTCCTCGAAGTCGAGAACGGCGGCGATGTGCATGACGGTGGGGAAGGTGTCGTTAGACGAGGCGGACATGTTGACGTGGTCGTTGGGGTGGACTGGCTTCTTGGAGCCCATGGTGCCGCCGAGGATCTCAATGGCGCGGTTGGAGATGACTTCGTTCGCGTTCATGTTGGACTGGGTGCCGGAGCCCGTCTGCCAGACAACGAGGGGGAAGTGGTCGATGAGCTTCAGCGAGGCCACCTCCTCAGCGGCCTGCTGGATCGCCTGGCCGAGCTTGGGGTCCAGCCCAAACTTCATGTTGACCGTGGCAGCGGCGCCCTTGAGGATGCCGAAGGCGCGCACAATGGGCGGCGGCATGCGGTCCTGGGGCTGGTTGATCTTGAAGTTCTCGAGCGAACGCTCCGTCTGGGCGCCCCAGTACTTGTCCGAGGGGACCTGGATCTCGCCAAAGGCATCGCTTTCGGTGCGCGTGTTGGCCATGGTGCTGGTGACGCTGAACTGGCGGCGCTGGAAGAGGCTCTGCGTCTTCAGCGGGGTACGGGGAGTGGTGGAGAGGGCACGCGTGCTGCGGGCACAGCAGAAGGAGGGGCTGGCCTTTGCATGTGCGAGTGATCGTAATGCTCCGGCCTCGGCGGCGCGGAGCTTCGTTGCGCTTCGGAACATGGTAGCAGCAGCTGCTGGCGGGGGGCAGGATGGGGAGAGGGGGTGGAGAAGACGCCGAATTGGCTAATGGAGTGCGCAGCGGAACTAGAGCGCAAGTCGCAAGTCAAAAGACAGAAGATGGATAATTGGGATAATTGCTGCGACGCAAAATGCTGCCGTTCCGAGCTCTGACCTCATGCTCGCGGGAATTGCCTCCGGTCTCTCCCGCGGCATAACTCGCTGTCACATGACTGGCGGGGTGCCAAGCCGAGGGTGGATGAAGGCTCCAAGAACGCAAACTGGAGCATGAAAGAATGTGGTCGGCATGAATTCTCTGCTTACTTGTACCGCCAGCTCAGAATACCGCCGCTCAGCACCATGTTTTCCTGCCGCTCGCCTTCCGCACGCCGGCGCCAAAGCCTCAGCATTCCAAGGTTAGCCCGTGATGACTTGGGCATTGCAACGTCAAGCGTTCCGTCGCCTCGTCTGCGCTGATGCGGCGTCTCGCTCATGTCCCACAGCCCCGGCCAGCCACTGTTCCAACTTTTCTCATTACCTCGCGCAGGACGCTTGTAGGGCCGCGTCTATGCCATCGGCTTGAGACTCTGGCTCAACCTCTGCATATATATGCTTTGGCCGCTCCGGTCGGGCTAGTGGAGTCTCTGCATAGCCACCGATCAAAAGCTTCGGCATTATCGGGCACACCCTGTTGAGTGAAACACACCTCGTACCGAGAGCCTGTCCCTACCCAAACTTCCGCCTGCATCGCGCCGCTGGGTACGGCTGAGGGTCCGATTTATTGGGTGATGATGAGGGCTCCTGCATTCGATACTGACGATCTAGAGCTATGAGGGCAAACGACCAAGTACGTCTGGAAGCTAGGTCGCTGCGTGACGCCTGGAACCAGGTGCCCTGCGCTTTCCGTCTTCCGACGACTGGTCATATTAGATTAACGTAGCGAGTCAAGTCGGAGTGCACCTGATCTGTCTCCACCATCCTTTCGATCCATGCTGGGCGCTCGCCTTCGAGCGTGCCAACGTAACATGGAGCTAATAACCCCTCATCTTCACCTACGGCCCAGTTTCCAGCCTCCACAAACACTCCTGTTTGCATCTGCGGTCTGCTGTCTTTTGCAGCCTGCTATTGTGTCTTCAAGCTCACTCCACCTTTGCATTACTCCGTCCGTGAAGCACGGCTTCAGCTGGGCCGCACGTACTTGCTTAGCCGCAGATAAGGCTCCCATGACGCTGATCGAGCCTTCTACCACGAACCCCTCTGCCCAACGACTGCCTCAATCAAGGCCGAGTTGTTCTGACAGTTGTTCGCAATCGATACACGATAGCGTCAACATCCGCGTTCCTCCAGACCTTTGCTCGCCACCGATCGACACAGCTTACGAAACGACACAGCTCGTGAAAAAAGGTGCAAGACGTCTGTGGAACTGCTCGTATGGCTGAGTCTGAATACGGCGGGGGTCCCTGGGTTCACGATAGGATAGGCGCTCGAAACTCAGATGCAGAGCTGACTGCCCCGCTTCTCGCCGCGCATACACCGTTCCAACAACAACTGCCAACGTTGTATCGAAATCCATACATGTCCAATAGCAGCCCCTCCATGTCTCAGGCTCAGGATGCACCAAATGTGTCTACCAGCAGCCACCCACAATGTCCAGCTTTGCCACCTATTGGAATGCGTCACCACTACTATGCTCCTCATGCACACTCGTACCAGTTCACAAACCCTCAAAGACCGTCGCAAACCTGGAACGGGCCTCCGCACCTTTATCCTGGCCAGGCATTCTACGACCCCGGCGTCGCTTCTCAGGGTGACCAGCTGCGCCATCATTTAGGAGCACCGAGTCACAACTTTCCGCTTCTAGGGTCACCACATGCCGCGCCTCCTTCGAATCCCCGACATCGCAATGATTACAGAAGACACGATCACAGAATGAGTGCCGGGGCGGTGGCAGGTAGTATGCCTATTGACAATACACGCTTCCCTGAAGCACGGGGTTCAGTAGCACCCCCGGAAGCCCGGTTTCAGCATCCGCGACCACCACTTCAACAAGCAATCCACCCAGGTGAGGCACTGTATTCTGGATTACCTGAACGTCCGTGGCCGTCACACGAGGTTCCAAGCCGCCGCTCAGACCGTAGCGTATCCCCACGCACGTCGAATCGCCGTAACTTTGAACGATACTCAGTTGACCTCTCCCATTCCAGCACGTCGTCTGACGCAGAAGAAGCGGCTGCCCGTGCGCCGCCGCTGAGTCGTATGAGGCATCGATCCAGAGAAGTGCGGCCGCGTATCGCGGGCCGCTACCCGCCTCAATTCGATCCCAACATTGCTACCGCTCGCCAGATTGATCAATTGAAAAACAGTCTCCAGCGCCATCTACCAAGTACGCTTCCAGAGAAAGCGTCCAAGGCTTGTGACATTTGCCAGAAAGACTATGCCGCTACACGTGTGTCGCCTACAGAAGAGGAAGAAATTGCGATTGAGCTGTCGTGTGGACACACGTTTGGAGAGTTCTGCATAGGTCAATGGGTAAGTGGTAGTCGTTTGAAGATAGCAGATGCTTGCTCACATGACCTAGTTTGATACGTGCAGAACACACAAGAATAAAGTTACCTGCCCCATGTGTCGGAAGCAGCTCATCGAAGCGCCAGCACCACGATTCATGCCGAGCATGATGCAGGGGCAAGCGTTTCTTGATCTGCTCGCTCGCCAGAATATGCACGTCACTGATCTCTACGGCCACTTTCAGCAGGCGTGAGCGCTGTGAGGTGTTCGACTCAGGATGCGATTTTCGAAGCTGTGATATCATTGTTTTACACGGATGGCCTTGGCAGGGCAGTCGAGGCGTTGTAGATGGGTAGGGAGTTTTGGTGGGTGTTGCACACTAGGTGCGTAATTGGGGTGAACAGGCTTCAGACTGGAAA